TCCCTTTTGCTCTGAGAGATAATGCAAAGATAACAATGATGGTGATTTTAATTAAAATGTTATATACATTTGTCCCATATTACTTTTAGGCCCACAATTTTACCTAAATAGTTTTCCTGGCTAGCTGAGTATTGCTTTTGTTTGTGATTTTTTGAGAAACTTGGTCTGATATCACCATCTGAACAGCTATCAGCAATCCAAACAAACACATGTCCTGGGTTGAAAGGGGCTCTAGGCTTTGCCTCCCCTCCTGGGCCTTCCAGAGCCCCACCCCACCCCCCGAGTCACCAGCCAGGGTAAAGTTCTGAGCCTTTTACACACAAGGGTACAAGTCAGATCCCTCGGGAATGACCTCCTGTGTCCTGGGCTTGCCGGCTGGCCTCACTGCAATGCTGCTCAGAGGGTAAAAGGTTAGCCAAGAGCACATTTAGAGCCTTCCCACCACGCTGCTGAGGCCAGGCCGAACGTGGGCGTTAAGGGCGCCCTGCCCCCACCCCATTGGGAAAGGCTTTCTTGGCAACCATCCTTCTTCAGAGCCCATTAGAAAGCGCACATTCCCGTGGTCTCTCTGGCTCTAGCCAAGTTTTCCAAGAGGAGGTGGGGGTGGCGGAAAGCACTACAGGCTGCTGTTAGCCAATGTTGAAAGCTTCTGTCTTCCACCTCCACCCGCAGTTAGCAGTCCAAGGTCCCAGCTTGGCTGGAAACCAACTAAGCAGTTTTGTTCAGAAGTAGCAACTTATTTTTATCAAAGGTGGAATGCAGAGCTGCCGTTGTTTGTAATGCCCCCGCATGGCAATCATGACTCTTGCTCCAAGCTCTAGGGAGTCCTTTTCTCTGCCTGGACACCTGGCTTTCTAGCCTATCCCTTTGCCATCCAAAAACTGGGTGCAGAGCAACTCCAGTGTCTCCGAATTAAGACCAAGAAAAAGTTCTAGAAATTCAAAGTGTCTTTATTAATGTGTCCATTTTCAATCCAGGCTTTGGTGGGGACAGCCCCCCTATAAACCCACTCTAAACTGACCCAGGACCACAGCACTGGGGTGTGATGGAAAGAGCTCCCAGCTGGTGGCTAGCCCCCACTCTGGCTTTCGGTGCTGTAGACCCTTGAGCCAGTCCCTTGCCCTCCCTGAAGCTGGGTATCCACTTGTAAGTGGAGACTGTCTGGCTCAGTTCCCTCAGTCTTTTGGGGTCACAAAATGTTCTGAAATTCTGCTGAAAGCTATGGACCCTCACCTCAGGAAAAAAAATAACACATCCATTCATTCTTTCAAAAAGTATTCATGGAGAACAATTCTGAATTCCATTTCACGGGCTTTATAGGCTCTCTGGGAGTTCATCCAGGAACCTAAGGTAAGAAGTCCCGGTTATGAATTCTGCTGTGACGCGCATAGATGGGCTCTTGTCTAGAAGAACCATAATAATGATTCTAGTAAAGGATCATAAAACTACCAGTCAGGCAGGTGCCAGAAAACAAAGGCAGCCAGGCAGACATTATGAAGGTGATCTCAGGCTTCCCTCCCCATCCTGTCGTGGTGCCCCCACCCCGCACGCACACAGGCGAACAGGCAAGCACCGCAGGCCTGGAATGTGCTGTTCCTGGGCACTGGGACTGCGGGGAGCCTGCTGCAGCCCTGGAGAGGCGACAAACATCTCTTCTATCCTGGACTTTATTTTTCTCACGGTCTCTGAAAGGGCTGCGATCAGGTGATATGTGTGGGACTGCTCCTGGTACAGGTGCGGAGCAGGTACCAAGGGGAGGAGAAAATCCGCCCTGTGTGTACTTACTCAAGGCTCTTTCAATAGCTCTCCCAGATAGCTCTTGGCAGGGCAGCGACCACGTCTCTGGCAGGCTGCAGGGAATCTGAGTGTGAGAAAGTCAGTCAAGCGGAGGAAAAGGGGCGGGGGGGGGGGGGG